AACGCTGAATAGCCAGCAACCTGACGTCGCTCTCCTGTAGGCAGACATCTATACAATAAAACATAACCCTGCCCTTGTATATTTTAAGTTGTCTGGTGACCATTTCGGAAAACAAAAAGGGTTCCTTTGATGTGGTCTGATTCTAGCAGAGGGTGGGACGTCAGATGTGGTCTACCGATTCTTTCTGGAAATATTTTTAATGATGCCCCAAAGCTCCTTGTAGCCCCGAAGTAACAATCAGAAAGCAGTTCGGGTCTGTTACTTAACGTGGAGGCGAAAGTAAGGTTTAGACCGTACGTAACTACACTAGAATTACAGCCTATAACGATCTATTAATTCCTTTGAAACGTGTAATTTTAAATGGAACATCATAGGTGTCTATGGTTCCCAAAGCTTGATCATGCTAACGACATATTTCTATGCTTTCTTACGGGAAAGCCCCGAAAGCAGCATTTCCCCCAGCAAGCCAGTGGGTAAAAGCGTGCACATCTGACACAGATGTTTTTATTCTTATCGTGTGCTCCGATTCCAAAGCACACAAAGCACCGGTGTTCCTAGCTGGCTGCCCTCGTAGAGGAGTAGGTGTGTCCAAGAGCTGCGTGACAAATCAGTGCGTATTGCTCTTCAGGTGTCACAGAAATGTAAACATTGGAAATAGATGAACGCATTTGAAAACCTCTCCTAAAAAGAAGGAAAGGGGGCGAGAGAAAAACAATATTTATTTCTTCGTTTAGCCCAAATTCAGCTTGGAAGCAGCTGATGTGATTTCCACTCCTGAGTAGCTGCCCTGCGCGCAGCAGTAATTTACAGCAGCCGCTTCTCTAACAAGGAGGAAGTTGCAATTTGTAGAGCAATAAATACCGAGGCGGTGGGAGGAGCCCCCAGAAGAAAAATCGCCCTCCTTCTCCAATTAAAACTCCACCTTGGTATCACCGCGAACCGTGGGAAGGTCTCAAGGAAAACACGGCGGTGAGGATAAGGTGTTTGTTTGTGGCTGAGCCGTGTTATCTCCCGAGCAGGGCTTTTCTGCTCGCTGCAGTTTGCTCACACCTGCTGCTGGCATCGGGTGGAGGTTCTGAAACTCAATTAATTTCACTCAGCTCTATCTTCTTTGCTTCGTGGTCTCCTAGTGGGGTTATTCTGCACCCTGTGAACAATATAATCTCGTTTAAATGACTTTCCAGACCACACAGATCACATTACCCGCTTCTATGCATGAAGGCAATATTGTTTATTGGATTGTATGCTCTGAACTTCTGAAAAGCAGGAGAGAGTGGAGGAGAAAGACTCTGGGCAGGAGCTTCATGATTTCTCAAGTTTAGGATGTTTCCTAGGACAGAGATAGTAAGACTCACGTAGCTTCCAATTAAAGCTAATACAAAGAACTCTCTAAAAGAAACACTGCATGTGTGACAAGTATGTTATCACTTCCATCTATCCATTCATATGGATTTTTTTTCATGTTCATAATTATTATGCTTTTATGAGAAACTCAATCCAAGGCCTTCAGATTTAGGATGGTACTGTTTTTATACTAATGATGTGAGCAATTGCTGTAATGCATTTCAGGCAATAAATTCATTTTGAACAGTTAAACTTCAGTATTTAAGTTAAAAACGTGTGGTTTACTGCTGCAGTTGAGCTCTGTTAGCCCATCTGTTATGCATATACTTCCTAAATACTCATTAATACTATTGTTTATGGTGCATAGTTTATTGAGATCAATACACAAATGCTCGCGTTCCTTACTCTAGCAAATTTTTGTTACAGTCGGCAAGAGTTTCCTTGGCTGAGGACTGAGGGATTAAGCCTTCACTCAAAGTCCATGAATAAACTAAGAGCCTTTTCTTTAACTCATGCGGATTTGGATCAGGCCCAATCTTATTACTAGAAAAATTATTTTGCCCTGTTCTCACATAATCTCTTAATGATTTATTGAATAAAAATATTCAAAACAACGAATGCAGAAATTAAATAGCAATTTAATTATCTTTCTTAGCTCTGTTGCTCATGCCTTCTCAATACAAGAAAGAAAGGAAACAGTATAAGAAATGTAATGCTGCTGAAATATGTGCCATGGTACATTTTAGACAACTATCATGTGGCTTGTAAAATTTGTGACAGGCTAAAGCAGTATGGGGATATTCAGACCATAAAGATAAACTGTAGCCGTGAAAATAACTAAAAGAAAGGATGTGGAGCTATCTGGAAGAGGAAAGAGGGAGTGTAAGAACAACAACAACAAAAAAAAACCCCATAGAAATGTAGTTTGATAATAACTTGCGGACCAGACCTATACATCTGCTTCACACCTTTGGTATCTTGTTCACCACTTAATAGGCTGAGCTCTTGGACAAACTTTGTTCCTTTTTTTGGTAACTCAGCATGTGTTTCTGAAAGCAGCTTCAAAGCACCGCTTTAGATTTACAGAGGAGTGTGGTGCAACTGAGAGAAGTATCTGGCCCATATCCATGATGTAATTGTGCTTAGTGCCTGAAGGGCCTGCTATTCAGATAAATCTCTTACTACTTTTAGAATCTATCCCCCTGTTACTTTCACAATCAGAGGCTTGTTATGATCTCACTCAGCCCTGCAGATCTTTCAGAATTGGCTTACCTGAAGATAAAAGATCCCTTTCTCCAAGCTGGTTGGATCAACACTTTGTAAAGTCAGATGACAGGAGCAGGGGTCAGACCCAGGTCTGTTCTTGGAGTTGCACTGGGGATGAAAACTGAAAGAGGTTGCCTCAGGGAAATGCCACATGCATGAACATATGTCCCTAGAAGAGGAAAATATAGTGCTAGGAATGAATTATTTCTCAGAACCAAAGATTATTTAACATTGCTTTCAAACTTCCCCAGTTCTAGAGCAGAGGTTTATCATGGGGCTGGAGTTTTCCCAGGAAATCCCATCCATGGTCACAGGCTGTCTGAAGGTGTTCATGATGCAGAGCATCTTGATTATGTTCCACCTAGATCATGGGATCAGGGAGAGCACCAAGAAGTCAGAAGTATGGGCAAGGAAAAGTTATGCAAGTTATGTATTTATCAACAGAGAGAAGAGAACAAGCAAGTGCCAATTAAAATTAGTAAGTCAGATTAATTTTAGTGGAATAACTTCTTTTGCCTCAAGGAAAGAGCCATAACTAACTCCTGAGAGAGCCAGGTACAGGTGCAAATAACCGAGTGTCTTTCTAGAACCGATGTTGGTGCTGTCCTTCTGATAGCAGGGTGCCAGGTGCAGGTGGCAGCGCCTCTGTCCCACCTGTGCTTGGTGGATAGGAAGCATGTGGAATGCAGGAGATACCCAGCATTATCATGAGGAGCCTCAGGCTGCTTGCGGTGAGATAAGCGTTATTTTGCTCCCCTCCTGTCTCTGCTGTGGTTTCAGTAGGTCTGCAGTCAGGCAATAAGTGGGATCAGGCCTTAGAGCCAAGTAGGGCCAGCAGCAAAGCAGCCTCCAGTCGTGGCTGCTTGAATCACAGAATTGCAGCAGCTGGAGGGGACCTCAAGAGGTTATGGAGTGCAGGTCCCCTCCCCAGGTCTCTCAAGCTGGATCTGGAACTTGCTAGAGGAAATTATCTGCTGAGGAAAACACACATATCCATTCTTTATTTTTCTTTTCCTGTTTTGTGGAAGTGAAAGTCCTGCTGCTGAAATCCAGCAACACAAACAAGGAGGAGTTCATCTCTTTTCACTTCTATGTCTCTCTCTCTTCCTTTGGGAAATTTATTTATTTATTTATTTATTTTAATTTTTTTATCCAGCCACTTCAGCACTGATATATCAAGGTAGAGCTTGCAGTATTTCCTGGGAAGTAGCAAGAGCTCTCATCCTGAGCTCTCTTTTTCTGTGGCTTTCAGAGCTGCTCCCTGAGGTGCTTGGTTGTGTGGTCATCAAACACCCCTCTCTGGCTTTTTCTGCAATCCCAGCAGCCAGGTCTGCCCCAGCTCCCCTTCAGCCCCTGCTGTGCTGAGAGACAGAGGGCTTGGGACTAATTTTTATGGGAACTGTGAAGGAAAGTTCAGTTATCAGTGGAGAGAAACAGCAGTTTTTTTCTTCTTCTTCAGAGAAATTGGTTATTACTGTAGACTTCTCAATTAGTTAGATTATTAATTAAATTATTACCATGTTCTAGACATCTTATAGCTAAGACAGCACATCTATGAATGTATTAGGCAGATGAAGACTATTTGACTCTCCAGTTTCAACCCAGTTTGACAAGTGGATGAGGCTGTCAGAGCTGCTGGGCCTGAAGGTACATTCTTCACCTGTAACATAAAGAGGGAGGATTAATAATTCAGTACTACGTTACCTTACTGTGCTCTCTAATCTGAGACAGGCTTCTGATACTTCTTTTGTTCTCAGAAAAATCTTGTAGAAGGGATGACCCAAATTATCTAGATATTAACCAAGATATGCAAAAGATATTCTTCAGGTGTCTTAGAAGGAAGCTGTACATGTAATTCATGATTGGATAGACAGGAATTGTTCAAAGGTTGCCAGTGGCACAGGTTATGTTGCAAATCCACAGGGAAAAACCTATATCCTCTCCTCATTACTTTCAGTTTCTAGTTTAAATTAGTGATTACTAGGTCCTGTGGAATATTTTCCTATTGAAAAGGATGTTTGTTTGTTTGTTTAGGAACAGATGGGTGTACTATGACTCGTAAAAGATGTCAGGACAACTTTTGTTTTCTATTATTTGCATGATACAACTGCAGCACTGCCAAATACCATAACTTAGCTGTAGACATCAGTCACCAACTACAGTTAATGTTTGATGTAAGGTCTTGCACAGAAGTGGTCGTGTAAGCATCAGATATGTGAAATCTTGGTATCACAAGTATCCACAGCTAAGTTCCACATATGTGGGAAGACATAAATGGGTCTGTAAAGGACATTCCTCTCAGTACTATTTTGGCAGTATATTTGTCAGTTATTTTATACATCTGTAACACTGATCACTACTTGTCACCTCACTTCACCGTTTTCTTTCAGATGTTCTTCTAACTGAGAAGTGCTATACAGTCTCTTCTAGACGAGATGTCAGACTAGAATGGACAGGTGAGTCTCTTTTCCATTACATATTAATATGTTCAGCTCAAATGCATTATACCTCATAGATGTGGCAATCCAGGTGTCTTTACCGAGGCTTTTCTTTTCAGACAGGTGTGTATGAGCTAGAATTTTTCCTTTGGCTCATTTTGTTGTACTGATGTATCTTGCAGAAGTGCTTCTGTAATGAATCTATGGAAGTAAAATGCAAGTATTTGTAGCTGTTTGGCTGTTTTTTTTTTTTGTTTTTTTTTTTTTATCTATGTTTTGAGTTTTCAAATATATATTTATTCAAGTCATTCAGTAAATTCCAATTTTCTCTTTAGAAAGAAAGATACCCACCACTGAGCAGTCACACAGATGCACACACAAACATACCTGCATCCCCTGACCAAATGTAATGCCTGAACTTGCAAGTCCTTTGTAATGAAGGTAATCTTTATTCACGTGAGCAACCCCACAGAACTATTCATGCAATGGAGAATTACTCACATGAGTAAAACTTTGCAGGATCAGGTCCTGGATCTAACAACAGCATTTTAATTACAGACAATCCCCAAGCAATGTGTACAAAAGAGTTTTTTCCTGGACAATAACAAAGGTTATTAGCCTGTTCTTTTTTCCCCTTCTTGCTCTTTGGTTTAAAAGGAGGCACCAATAATCCAAACCAAATAAAACTGACCTTTGAACCTTTTCTGCTGTACTTTTTCTCATGCCATGATTTCTTTAGTGTGTTAGTGATCTGAAGGCTCGTTCTGGGCTACAGCCACTTTCCCAGACAGGACTGCCTTTCGTCCCCTGACAAATCACTGCTGAGCCCCTTTTGTCCTGCATCACTTTGATCTCACCTGCCTGTCAGGAAAAAAAGAACTCCCGTACAGTCAGAATGCATTGCAAACAAATTGGCAACCATTTCATTCCCATACACCATTTCAACAAAGATCAAGATAGAGATAGAGAATTTTTAACCCTTTCCTTGACCTGTAGAACTGAAAAGGAATGCTCAATTATGGTAGAATGATAAGATAATTTCTTAAGGAATTGGAGGATACAAAAAAAACCCAAACAAAAACAAAACAACAAAAAGAGAAACAACAAACCTCTGTTATCCTAATTGCATGGCATATTAGCTGTCAAATACAAAGGAGTTATGGCACAGTGGGCAGTGCTGTGTTCAAATACAAGCTTTGTAGAAGATCAATTCCTTTTAATTGGACAGCTGCTTATGCATAAACTAAAGAAACATAATAGGTATTCTCCAAAGTGAATGAAATTAATCCTATTATAAATAACCACTGGAGTATTTAGTAGGCTATCTGAAGCTCTTCCAATACACAAACTTTGTCTTAGCCATAGGTAAATTTATTTCCCAGTTGAATCTCTGGAATATACATATACATGTATCTCTCTTTTTTCTCTCTCTACATATATATACCTAGGTTGCTCTGAAAGTAATGCATCCTATTTATTTGCATGGAAACTATGACAGATACAAAGAGCACAATAACACTATTTGATAGAGTAAATTTTCAGATATAAAACACTATTTTTCAGTGTAGTCACCACCATTAGTTATGTATTTTAACCAACAACGAACTAGAGCCTGCATGCTGTACTTGTAAAGAACTGCACAATTGGAAGTGACCCACTGTAACCACTGCTGCAGAAACACCACCTACTGCCTCACTGTGCTCACACCCCCTGTGTGGTCTCCATAAATGTTTAGCAAGCATTGATGAATGTCAGTGGTTGCCAGTTTTTCTGCATGGTGGAAGTCAATGACGCACCTTTGTTCCATATATACTTGCATGTCAGATGCCATTCTGTCAGAATGCCCATCTGCTGCCATCTGCCACGTAGCAACAAAATGTAATCAACTACTGGTGGGAAAGTTCAACCTCTGCTTTCATAGCATCAACATCTGCCTCTGACGTTGTGGGTGAATATAATAGGAGGCATTATTTTTGGAGCAACCATTGAAACAAAGACCAGTGAAACAAAGGCACGCTGCACTGAAGAAATATATTCAGTAGGTTTCATAACTAAAAGCTTCTATTTGCCTGCCACACCTCATACAAATAAAGCTTTTACCTCTCTTTAGTTCTTAACTCCAAATTTCAAATGACTTCAGAAAACACATTCTGACACTGATATTCATTCTTGGGAGGAACGGTAGGAAAGTGTCCTGTACTTGTTTTGAATCCACTGTCAAAAGCTCTGGGGTCTAGTCTAAAGGACAGGAGGGCTCATCATTCCCAGAGAGGATCAGGTACTCCTTTTCAATAGTACCTCTGCCCACTTGTGTTTGTAGGTCTACATCAGAGGCATTTCATGATCCTCCTGTTTTCTTTCTTTTTAAAATATTTTTGGGAGGTGCTCAGTGTATCCTGGCTCAAGGACAGTCTTTAAAAGGGATAAGAGAATCCTTGAGGCTTCTTCCTTAATTGTGTAAAGCACAATTCTGTTTTAACAGCTGTTCATCAATTAATTCTAAATCATGTCTTTTTTAACAAAATGGTGTCTGTAATGAAAATGGGTAGCTTTGGAGTAGGGTTATTTTTCAGAGAATTTTGTGGGATTCTTTTGATGTATGAATGGAGCAGGTGGTCTAAGGACCTAAGAAGGATTAGATCTAAAAAAAGTACTGCTGATGTTATATGTGGTGATGCCAGTAGTGCTAACCTAAATGCAAGTGTTTGTATTTGAATTAGTGTATGCAAAAGTTAGCTCCAAGTTACTTTTGCATATTCATTACTTTGGTGTTCTTCTCCATGTGATTCTACGTACTACAAGGGCTACCCCAAAAGGAATGCCTTTTATGATATTATGTTGGTCTGCAGCATCAGAGGAAGATACTGGTGTTACACCAGTAGAGGCTGAACCTTCAAGCCTTCATATTCCATTGTGTCAGATGGCAGCAGAAGGGTAGTCAGACAAAATGGTGTCAGACATGGATGTAGGTCACCTCCTGTGTAGCATGCAGGTTCTTGTTCATTACTGGTGAAAATGCATAGTTTATAGCAGTTGAAAGAATGTTTTGTAGTTGAGAATTTGCTGTAACAAATAGTATTATTGTGCTCTTTGTGTCTGTTGTAGCTCCCATGCAAATAAATAGGAAGCATTACTTTCAGAGCAACCTACATACTTTCAGGTTAGTTATTTTCTTTTTTCTATTTTTTTGTACTTTTTTGCCTGTTCCCATCAGCTATTAGGGTGCATTCACTGTTTCTTTTTCTTCCTTTTTTTCCTCCTTTTCTTTTTTTTTTTTAGCCTGATTATTTATAATTAGCATTTTCTACCCCCGTGTAATTGTGCTTTAAACTCTTTCACACTGGGTTAATTCACTGACTTTAAAATCTATTAATTGACATCTAGAGGGGAAAGAGTAAACATGTCTTTAAAGATGGCATGAATGGTTGAATCAAGATTAGGTCTCCACTCTTTTAGTCCCCGAGTTTAAGGCAAGGCTGCAGTCTTCAAAAATCAATTGTCTTCAAAGCTCCAAAAAGAAATGGAATGAGCAGGGGTCAGACTCAAGAGCATCCCTTGTGTGTGGAGTTAACATTACCTAAGTACTTTAAATGATCACTAATTAGTGCTTTCAATAGGCACTCTGAAGACCATAGGATTGAAATATCTTATTTGGGAATAAACAATTGTGTAAGGCAGACTAGATCAACTCTCTAACATGGGCAGCAAAGCAACTCTTCCATTACAGCCTGTAACCAGAGAGAAGTCCTCAAGGACCTGCTAAACCATTCACAATTGTCCTCTTTCATTATTCCCAGGTTAGGATGGTCACAGGACTCTTGATTATATAGGCAAGCATGCTTCCCTCTGAAATTTAGTTTATAGTACAACCCTGATTGTCTTCAATAAGAAACAACAAAAAAGCCCATATCCTCACTGGCTATTTTAGATGTAGTTTAAAAATAGTTTTAAAGTCAGTAAAAAGAAAAAAAATCATAAATATTTATTTCATAGTTGTGGAGTTAAGAGCTTACTATCCACACCTGCATCTGAGCAAAACAGCAAATTATTACTAAATACTGCCAGCTCCTGGGGATTCAAATCAACCTCCATAATATTATCTAGGAGTACCACATACAAGCAAAAAAAAATTCCTAATAAGGACATAAGAAAACACACCATTTGACATATATAGTCAATCATTTTTAGGAGTGCAATTACAACTACTGAGTAATCTTTATAAGAAACTTGCAAGTCAAATACAGTTTTCATTAAAAATGAGAATAATGAATATACATAAATTGAAAGATCCGCTGTAGAAAAAAATGGAAACTTGTGGTGAGAAAGCCATTTCTAAAAGTAATGCTACACTATTTATTCATTTTTTTTATTTACTTAGTGCTGTAAATGAGGGTGAGGGTACATTACAGAGAGTCAATAGGGATTCCAAAACAGAAGGACGAAGCTTTGACTTAGACTTCAATCCAGTGCCTGCCATGTTGCACAAGTGAAGTTTTCCTTCCTGGAAAATGAGCAGCTATCACATACATATTTATATGTTTTTACCTCCCTGAAGTGCAACTAAAACCACCTGTGATCATCAAGTGAGCAAAAACAATAGATGGAATATGATAGCAAGAAAGAATGATAAAATCCTCTTTTCCATAAAAGGACATAGTTTTTAATTTAAAAAAAAAAAAAAAAAAAAAAAAAAAGTAAGTTTTGTGTAAGAGAAAATGTTTCTGATTTCATAAAGTCTTAACACTTTATCTGGGGAAAAAAAAAAAAAAAAAAAAAAAAAAAAAAGATTATTTGGAAGATTTTTTTTATTTTGGAAAGAAAAAATAGTTTTCTTTCTTTTGCCCCTGAATATGGAAGCATCAGTTTTTGTTTGTCAGTAAAGATGTCCTGAGAAAACTGATGAGAAAAACGGCAAGGCATAACGATCAGTTGTGGTTCCTGATAGCTGTTATTTCTTCTGTAGACTCTGTGTCAGCAGTTCATTTATACTTTATAGTTTATTTGTGTGAAGAAGTTTA